GTGACATGCAGTTAAAGTAAATTTCCATATTAGCCTGTTTGAAAATGTCTCATTGTCCAGAAAGAGATAAGAGGATTGAAAGATGAATAACAATAATAATATTAGCATATTATCATTCAGTCCAAACTCTGCTAACTTGGTATTTGGTCCAGTGCTTCTGTAGATAATCCAGTAATAGGTGAGTGGCAGATAGTATATCAGAAAAACAAGGTACACATGGAATGCACCAGCAGCTGCAACTTTTCTCTCCCTCACAGTATTAACCTTACCTCCTATATTATTCTGTGTTATTTGAACTTCCAAGACATGAATTTGATTGCTGTGGTGACAGTGTATTAAATTTCCATAATAACCTGTTTGAAAAAAAAAATGTCTCATTGTCCAGAAAGAAATAAGAGGATTGAGAGATGAATTGAGGTGTAACAGCAAATTAACATAAAGTCTAAACTGCTTTAATGCAGCATTTGGTCCAGTACTTCTATAGATAATTCAGTAATAAGTGACTGGCAGGTAACAAATCAGAAACACAAGATATGTAAAGAATGTACCAACTTAATCTTTTCTCTCCCTCACAGCATTAGCCTTATCTCCTGCATTAGCCTGTGCTATTTGAACTTCCAAGACATGAATTTGATTGCTCTGTCTACATTTTCATATAGTTTCTTTTCCCGTGGTTTATGTATGTCAGCATTAACATAATGTTGTGGTTCACCAATATCGTTCGTTAAACATCCATATTCTGACCTTTCAATGGGAAGCAGTTCCATATAAACAGAAGGCGGGACTTCTGCATCACCCAAGATTGAAAATGGTTGGAATCTTCTTAAAATTGAGGAGAAAAGGGAAGAATAGATATCTTAACAAATTAGTGTAAGTCTGTTGTTTTTTTGTTATTTTTTTTTCTTGGGGGTGGAAAGGTGGAGTTCTGTCGTCATTACAAAACAAGCCCACAGACATCAGACATAACGGAAGAGGTTTATTATTACCTTTTTTAATTCATTTGTTCATGTATTTATTGACATACAGTTAATAAAATGTCAATAATTACTTGTTTAAATAAGGCCGTATTGTCCAGAAAGAGATAAGAGGATTAAGAGATGAACTGAGGTTTACCTGTGAATTAGTATTAAGTCTAAACTGCATTTCTGCAGTATTTGGTCCAGTACTTCTGTACATAATCCAGTAATGTGACTGGTAGGTAACAAATCCTTGCACAACTCTACTATGTGCCCTGTTTATCCACAACTGCAACACAATTTGTTCTTTGAAGCTTTTCTGAGCTGTGTGATCTTTACCATAAGAAATGCGCATTATTTGAAATTCTTGGTCTGTTACTCCATCTGCCCTCCTTGGTGATTTTGGGGTGTCTTGAGGTTAATAACACAGTGAAATGTGATGAGGTGGCTGCTTTGAAGTTATGTTCCAAGTATATTAAATATGGATACCACATAAAGAAACTAAGTGGTTATCCTCATATCTGATGTTTCCATGGCATTGATTATGTGAAAATGACAGATGATAAAGGGTGCAAACAAAATCTGTCTGTTTAGACCACAAAGGTGCTGTGAGTCTCTGTCAAACTGAGTAAAGTATGTTGTCTCTTTTGTGCCCCCACAGCAACTCTTGTTTGGAGGAAAAGAAACAAAAGCTATCACAGCTGAGATATACCAGTATGTGTGAGAATGCCACTTGTTTTTCAAAACTCCTGATTGTTGGTGATATTCTTGGCCTTGTGTCTTTCAACAAAGTTATATGTCGCTCAGCTTATCCACTTAAACGATCCAAGTTATACTGTTTATCCCAATGAATGAACTACCGCTAAATTTACAAAACTCCAAACCCAGATCAGTGCATTGTCCACCTGGGGGCAACTGGAAAAGCATCGTAGGCACTTATAGACCTTAAAATAGAGCTTAATCATTAATGCAACAACTGCTGTCTTGAAGTGATTATTCAAACCATGGATAAAATAGTAATAATATTTTATCTCTGACACTGACAGCAAGACATTAGCATGACAATCTTTTGTCACCAGGCACACTCTGTCTTTTTACAACAACATTTTTATGACTCCACTGAGGTTACAGAGGGAGTTACTTTGACTCCAGAAGGGCATACAAATTAAGTCAGGTGGGAAGGTCAAGGAAGCGGAGGAAGTCAAATTGCTGCATCTGTGGGTAGGTTACAAAGGCTTGAAATTTACAACACCACGTTTCCTGATCTAAAGCAGCCCTTGGACGTGAATTGGAATTGGTGTGGTTTCTCTGTAGGTAACTTTGGTTTGACTTAGCTTATTTTTGCTGGTCATAACATCATATGGAGGCTTGGTAATGTTTACCTTCACCTTACGTAGTAATCTTCATTT